AGAAAAGAAAAGAAAAGAAAAGAAAAGAAAAGAAAAGAAAAGAAAATGGAATGGAATGGAATAGAATAGAATAGAATAGAATAGAATAGAATAGAAAATGGAATGGAATGGAATGGAATGGAATAGAATAGAATAGAATAGAATAGAATAGAATAGAATAGAATAGAATAGAATAGAACTTGGCTTTCTTGTTTTTTTTCCCTTGAAAACATTTTGCTTCTCATCCAAGAAGCTTCTTCAGTTCTAAACTGAAGAATGTTAAAACCGAAGAAGCTTCTTGAATGAGAAGTGAAACATTTTCAAGGATAAAAACCAAGTCCGTCCAGCTCTGCTTTTTGGAAAAGCACCTTTGGGACAACCAGGACCTGGAAAATGGGGAATCTCCCTGGATAATCTTTATTCGACATAGTCGTGGCTGTGGTGTATTGAAAAAAAATGAAAAACGCTGTTCATAATGTTTGTTTTATTTCAACCGGACACGAAATGGGCCTTTTCTAAATTGCACATGGTTGAAAATATTAAAGGGTCTGTGCTTTCAATTGATCCACATTGATCCACATTATTTGACATCCTAGCCTGATTTTTTTTTCTTTCCTATTATTTATCCTGTCTAGTTTACTCGAAGACAAGAAATTAATTGAAAAGGAGTATCGCAAAATTCCCAAATCTTCTGTAAGTAAGCTTTCTCACATTACCTAATACACTCATTCAATGTGCCGAAAATAAAATCTGCAGGTTTTGCTGCAAATCACGAAATCAGACAACAGGTCAATTAAAGGTTGCAATCACATATTTGTTTAGCTGAGGATACGTCCCTTTTCACGCAGCTGTAAATAGTGCCCAGAATTGTTCTATAAATCTATGAAACTTAATAATAGTAATAATAATCATCAGAACAGAGCTGGAAGGGGCCTCGGAGGTCTTCTAGTCCAGCCCCCTGCTTGGGTGATCATTTCAGACAAGTGGCTGTCCAATCTCTTCTTAAAACCTCAAGAGATGAAGGGCAAATTCTGTACACCAGCCTCAACTGCGGGGCTGCTTGCACCTGGCTGTGCGTAAAACCGAGTTTAAACAAAATTCATCCTGGGTTAATTTTGGGGGCAACTTCTCAGCCGGAATACGACACTCATTCGGTTTCATTTTTTTTGTTTAAAGGACGCGGACAAGAAAATCAAAGCCCTGAGGGACAGCTGCGAAGACCTGCGTAAAGAAACAACCCAGAGGAGGCAGGAAATTAAAACCCTGAAGGACGATCTGTTTGCAAGGCATAAGCGTCTCACGAAGGAGCACAAAGAGCTGGAGGAACTGTTTCGGAAGCAAGAAGAACTGAAGGTGATGGAGGGGGACCTGTAGACGCCTCTTGATAGGGCCGTGTTTTGATGTCCACTTCCAAGCTGTATAGAAGAAGACTCAAATGTAATTACGTCGCTATCGTCTCAGACAAGTGACTGTCCAGTCTCTTCTTAAAAACCTCCAGGGATGGAACACCCACGATTTCTGAAGGCAAAGCTGTTCCACTGGTTGATTGTCCTCACTGTTAGGAAGTTTCTCCTTAATTCCAGGTTGCTTCTCTCTTGGGTCAGTTTCCAACCATTGTTTCTTGTCCTGCCCTCTGGTACTTTGGAGAATAGAATAGAGTAGAGTAGAATAGAATAGAATAGAATAGAATAGAATAGAATAGAGTAGAGTAGAGTAGAGTAGAGTAGAGTAGAGTAGAGTAGAATAGAATAGAATAGAATAGAATAGAATAGAATAATGAATAATGAATAATGAATAATGAATAATGAATAATGAATAATGAATAATGAAATATGAAATGGAATGGAGTAGAGTAGAGTAGAGTAGAGTAGAGTAGAATATAGAATATAGAATAATGAATAATGGAATGGAATGGAATGGAGTGGAGTGGAGTGGAGTGGAGTAGAGTAGAGTAGAGTAGAGTAGAGTAGAGTAGAGTAGAGTAGAGTAGAGTAGAGTAGAGTAGAGTAGAGTAGAGTAGAATAGAATAATGAAGAATAGAATAGAGTAGAGTAGAATAGAATAATGAAGAATAGAATAGAATAGAATAGAATAGAATAGAGTAGAGTAGAGTAGAGTAGAGTAGAGTAGAGTAGAGTAGAGTAGAGTAGAGTAGAGTAGAGTAGAATAATGAATAATAGAATAGAGTAGAGTAGAGTAGGGTAGAATAGAATAGAATAGAATAGAATAGAATAGAATAGAATAGAATAGAAGCTGGAAGGGAACTTGGAGGTCTTCTAGTCCAGCCCCCCGCTCAAGCAGGAGCACCTATCCCATCTCAAACAAGTGACTGTCCAGCCTCTTCTTCAAAACCTCCAGTGATGGAGCGCCCACGGTTCCCAATTGCCACGATTCAACTTCCAGCCTCAAACACATTTCAAAGAAGAAGAAAAAATATATATATATTCATTTTCATGGGCGTTTGTCTGATCGTTACTCTAACCCAGCTTGAAGTTAATTCACCCTGAAACCTTCTTAAATGCGTAGATTCACGCCGGCTAATATTTCTGTTTATTTCATCACCAGGACGAACTCGTCCGTCTCCAAGCCATCCCTATTCAGCTCGGGAAAGATATGGAAAAAATAAGCCGCAGAATCCAGTAAGTTCTTAGCGCCCTTTATTATCATCGTTGGTGGCACCATCGGCCAGATGCTTAGACTGGATTTGACATTATTGTGTTATTGTCATGATCGTTACGTTATTCCCCCCTTTTTTAATATATAACTCAAGGAGGTATACACCCCAAATACTCCTGGCCTATTTTTCCTACAATAACCCTGTGAGGTGGTCCAGGCTAAAAAAGAGCGACTGGCCCAAAGTCACCCAACTGCCTTTCACGGCTGAGGCGGGACTGGAACGCAGAGCCTCCTGGTGTTTTGGGAAAAAATACCTTTGGGTCAAGGCATCTTACATATCCCACACACCTTCCTCCTCCTGTTTTCCCCACCACAGCAACAACAGTCCTGTGAGGTGGGCTGAGCTGAGCGAAAATGACTGGCCCCAGGTCACTCCCCTGGCTTTCATGGCTAAGGTGGGATTTGAACTCAGGGTCTTCTGCTTTCTAACTTGGTA